GAGCAGCAAGAGGCAGATGGGTGGGGCTGGGGGAGGGGCCTGGAGTCAGGGATGCTGGGTAGGAGGACTGTGTCGTCATCAGGTGAGAGGTGACGAGGGCCTAGCCACGTCAATGACAGAGGAGCTGGGGCGCCGCAGAGGGAGAACTGGCAGAACCTGGGGACTGAGTCAGAGGTGGGAGAGGGAGGAGGAAGTGGAGATGAGGCTGAGCGATGGTGTGGATGGTGGTGCTGTTCACTGGGATGGGAACATGGGAGCAGGGGGTGTGGGGGTGGAGATGGAGAGCTTGGTTTGGGATGGTGTTAATGCACTGAACGTTTGTGTCTCCCCCAGATTCAGATGTTGAAGTCCTAACCCCCAGTGTGGCTATATTTGGAGATGGGGCCTCTAAGGAAGTAATAAAGGTTAAACAAAGTCCTAGGGTGGGGCCCTGATCTGATAGGATTAGTGTCCTTATAAGAACAGACAACGCACTCGCACTCTTCTTCTCCCTCCATGTGCACACACCAAGAAAAGGTCACGTGAGGACACAGTGAGAGGACAGCCATCTGCAAGCCAGAAAGACATCTGGCAGCCATCTGAAGCCAGTCCGGACCAGAAACCAAATCAGCCAGAACCCTCATCTTGAATTTCTAACCTTCAGAATCGTGAGAAAATAAATTCCTGTTATTCAGGCGTCCCAGTCTACGGTATTTTGTTATGGCAGCCAGAATAGGCCTAAGACAGATGGGGTGGGCTTGAGATGTCCGAGGGGGAAGCTACGTAAGATGTGTCACAGCTAGACATGCAAGTGGGGAGTAGATCTGAAAGTCACCAGGGTTCAGGCTGAGGTTGAAGTCATGGGAGTAGATGTGATCAACAGTGGAAGGTTCTACAAAAAGAGGATGAAAGCTGAGAGCCTGAGAAGTGCGTGCGCTGAGGGGGCAGTGGGGAGCCATGCAAGAGCTTAGGGGGAGTAGCTAGGAGGGTGGAGGGGACCTAGAAGGCTGCAGGGAGGGAAGCCCAGAGCAGACGGGAAAGGGCACAGTCATATCGGGGCCTCAGGGAACTCGACCACCCACTTCTTCCACAGAAGAGGGCATCTCGCCATGAAGGTGTGAGACCCATGGGTGTCACCCTCAAACAAAGGTCAAAGGTGGAAGGACAAGAAGGGAAAGGCAGGCCCGTCCTGACATTTAACCCTTCCCAGGCTCTTCTTCCCGCTGAACAAAGTGCTAACTCCTTACAAGGCCTTGAGGCCCTTGGTGACCAGGGTCTGTCTTCTGCCACGTCTGCCTTCACACTTTACACAGTGGCCACCATGAAACGCCTCCTTTCCCAGCCAGTCTGGGGAGTGAGGGTGAGGCAGGGGCCTAGGACCGGGGCTATCAGAGCAACCACGGGCCACCTGGGGGACAGGCACGTGGCCCGCAGAGGAGGGCACAGCCCGGAGTGGAGGGCAGTGGTCATCACGGAACTTTCTCAGCTCCCAGGGGACAGCACCTCTGTGCCAGGCACTGTGCCAAGAGCCTTCGTGATCTCATTTCATAACACTGCACAGTGATGCCATATAGTCGGCATTATTACCTCCATTTTATGAGTGGGGAAACTGAGGTTCAGAGAGACCGTATAACTTGCCTAAGGTCACACAGCTGGGGCCAAGCTGGGATTCACCAGCTCTGGTCCAATTCCAGAGTCTGTTCTATCTTCACAGAAGCTGCTGCCTCTGTGCACAGAACCTGTGTAGCCCCTGTGGGTTAGTGAGGGGTCTAAACGTCCAGACTCTCTTCTCTCTCCCTATTTTGTCATGGTTCCGAGGAGAAGTCCGGCCCACACCTAGTCTGTGACCAGCAGTCACACAGCGTATGTTTTTAGGCCAAGTCTATGTTGTCTTCTATTGTCGCCACAGTACCTAGCCTCGTTCTGGTCACATAACAGGAGCTTAATCAATACTGGCTGAGTGAAATGGCCAACCTAATCCCAATCTCTAGTAACAAGGAACCCAGGCTCATGACTTATTTGACTGGGCTCATGGTCCACTTGACTGGGGCAAAGCTTCAGCTTCTATAAAGATTTGATAAGGAATTGAAATTCTGTAACTTTGGGAGGCTCCCAGTATAAGAGAAAATCATGGGCCTTCAAGCTACAGAGACCCAGCGTCGAATCTTGACTCTGCCAGGTCCCACATTTCTGTGTGGCCCTGGGCAGGTCACTTACCCTCTGAGGCTCTGATTCCTCTTCTACAGAAGAGCAGCCATCATCACATAGCTGTGAGCACTGCATGAGATGAAGCGGTACTATTCAAACTCGTGCTTAGCTACAAATCCCCTCTTAGAAGAAGGTTTACAGGAAGGGATGGAGGCAGGGTCAGAGGCCTCCCTGCTGGGCATCCCCTATCCCACCACCTTGGTGGTCACCGAGGGTAGCCCAGGTCTTTGTGTGACACTGTTTGAAAACTCTGAGACAATGAACACACAGCTTCTGGCACATAGTAGGCTCTCAACAAACGATATGTCCCTTTCTTCTCCAATGAAATCACACCAAACAAGCCTAATTCCTCTTTCCCACAGAACAGCCCTTCAAATATTTGGACACAGCTCTCAAGTCTCCCCTGAGTCCACTTTCCCCCGAATAAACATTCAGGGGGCTGTTAACCTCGCTCACTGGGCTTGACTTTAAGTCCTCTCCTTGTCCATCTCAAGCTGAGGTCCCCACGTCTATGCCCAGTTCTCTGATGCCTGATCAGAATAGAATAGAGCAACACTCACTCCCTGGGATAAATTCTAGTAGCTAATATTTTTGAAACTTCACACAGGACTTGATATTTATTCCCACTTCACCTTATCCTGGTAACTGAGCCACTTACTCCAGTCCATCCAGATCTTTCTGCACGCTGTTTGCTGATTGCTGTACCACCATCCCTCTCAAGCTCATGTGACTTTTGTCTTATCCAGGCCATGAATAAGATATGGAAAGATTAGGGAATGTGGATGGCACAGAATCATTCCTCCCCACTTCTGGAAACATTCACTGCTGAACATCCGTAGAAGTTCTGAAATGGGGAAACCTTAGAAACCTTTTGAGTCTAAACCCATTCCCATTTCCAGAGTAGTGAGGGCCAGGGCTTGGGCCTGAATCAAGGTCTCCTGATTTCTCATCTGGGGCTCTTTCCATTGCCTCCCAGCTGCGTATATATAAGGATGTGCCAGAAGAGCCCATTCATTTAACTACCTACGTACTCACTTACTACTCACTAATCACCTTGTAATTTGCAACATTTTAATTTTCACATTCTTTATCTAAACTTAATCTTCACAGAAGCCCTGTGCCCGAAGGTGTATTATTATGTCCATTTCACAGATGAAGAAACAGAGCCCCAGACAGGCTCCCTGACTCACCATGGAGCTGGAAAGTGACAGAACCAGGATTTGAACTCAGCACGTTGTCACCCGATAGGTGTTCTCTGTCTGCTGTCCTGTCTCACTTAGATGCATGTTTCCTACTCTTCGAACAGTACATCCATCCTCCTTACCCCAGTGGGCATATCATGGTTTGACAGTGTTCCTGCAGGAAATAAGGGCTAGCCTCCCGTTATGAGTTGAATCGTATTCTCCAAAAAGATGTGCTGAATCCTCACCCCTGGTCCCTGTGCATGTGACCTTATTTGGAAATAGGGTCCTTGCAGACGAACTCAAGTTAAGATGGTGAGCCCTTAATCCAACATGACTGGTGTCCTATGAGAAGAGGAGAGAGACACACGGGGACGTGTGACCACAGAGGCAGAGATGAGAATGATGCAGCTATAAGCTAAGGATCGCTGGCCACCAGCAGGAGCTAGAAAGAAGCAAGGAAGGAGTCTACCCAGAGTCTCAGAGGGAGCGTGGCCCTCCTGACACCTTGAGTTCAGACTTCTAGCCTCCAGAACTGTGAGAGAATAAACTTCTGTTGTTAAAGCCATCCAGTTTGTGGTGCTTTGTTAGGGCAGCCCTAGGACACTAATACATGTCCTGTGTACCCAGTTTGGTGACAGAATCCAGGTCCTGGTACAGGAAGAGCCTTTGGTCCACTGGGGGTGTGAGTCACACTGAGCAGAGTGAGAGTCCTTTGGACCCTAAATAGTCCCGTGTAGAATGATCACGTCTCCGAATGGGGTGGAGAAGGATGCTTTCCCTCCCACTCCACTGCCTCCTGTCTCTCTAGTCATTTTAAAGACTTAAAGCTCCCTTTCTCGATAAAGCTTTTCCCGACGCCCCAGAAAGGACGGCTGCCCCTTCTCTGTGCTCCCATTGGTTCTGTTTGCTGCAATTATCTTGCTTTAATAAGAGCTCGTTTGTTTTCTCCTCTGTCTTACCATGATAGCGCAGGCCCCTTGCAGCAAGGGCCTAGATCTGATGCATCTGTTCCCGCAGTGCTGGTCTAGGGGCGGATACCTAACACGGCCTTCACAAACGCTCGGGGGATGGTCTCTGCTCCACCTTCTGTGGGGATCTGCCCTAGCCGTCATCAGGAGGCTTGGCAGTGCATGGAGGGGTGATGGTAAAGGTATCTCTTGGACCCCAGACTTTGCCGTTCCCTTAATGCCTGTTCCCACCAAGAGATGCAGGTCACCCGCGTCTGTACCCTCCTCAGGTCACCAACGGTGTGTGTCTGTCCCTAGCCCTGTGCACATAGTCACTCATCACTATGACACCCAAATAGGGTAGCTTGGGAAGCTACTGTCTCCAGTCTAAAGATTTTATAAAATAAGCAAGGTTCAGAAAGTTTATGGGGCTTTTCAAAGGTCTACATAAGCCAAGTATGAACCCAGGATGGAACTGATGTGTGTGACTGATCCCAGGTAACCCTCAAAACAGCCCAGGAGACCCACTGGACAAAGAAGGAGGCTGGGACTCAGAGAAGCTGAATAACATGCCTAAGGAGAGGAAGCTAGTGCAGGGCGGAGCTGGGATTCGAACCCAGGGCTTGTTGACTCCAAACCACACCCCAAGCGTCTGACTCATTGGCTCCCCAACAGCAGTTACCTTCGTAAGAAGCCTTGAAGCCCAGGGAGCTGCCACTGCTGTCGGTCTGGAAGAGGAGCCACATTTGATGGTTGGTGCTGACAATGAGATCTGGGACCGACGTACCTGTCAGGCTGTCAGGAGAGAGAGATTCAGAGGCGTGCACCCCACTGTGGCACCCCAAGAGAATGACGGTGTGACTGATGACATCTAAAGGAATATCTAGGTGCCAGGCCCACTCGGGCAGGTACTGAGCCCCACAGTGTTTCTGGCACTGAGCCCGGCAGCACGTGCTCACGTGCTGGGAGACTCAGGACCACTTCCCCTCCGGCCACAGGCAGAGCTTGCATCTCAGCCACGACTCCCCTGCCCAGACTCCAGGGCTTGGAAGAGAGGTCTGTGTCCTCACTTGCACAGGGGAGGGATGGCTGGAGCCAGGTCTAATCAAGGGGGTGTCTACACCCCTGCAACCTCCTGTCTTTCGTGTGAACTGTATTGCAGAAAAGACACAGACAGAAACCCATTTCCCCAGTCGGAACCCAGCCAGTCCTTTTAATGAGGCACCTCTTTCCACTCCAGCATGAGAAGTGAGGCTTAAAGCGCAGCCCCAACCCTGGGCAACGCTCTTTCTGAAGAAGAGAGTTTAGGCATGGAGAGGATTCTGATTCAACTCACATTTACCAGGCACCTACCCAAGTCAGACCATGTCCCTTTCATGATCTTATTTAATGTCCCCAGTAGCCCAGTGAGGTAGAGGTTGTGTTATCCCCACTGTACAGATGAGAAGACAGAGGTGCAAAATGGGCAGTGGCTTTCCCAAGGTCAGCCTGCTGGAGTGGCAGAGTCAGAGTCCACGGCACAGCCTGGGGCTCCTAGAAGAAACCTGGCTTCCTTTTTCTGCTGGGACCAGACAAACTGTCAGCACAGATGGGGTGTGGGGGGTTGTGAGGGGGTGGTGGGATTAACGGACCCTAATCTCTGCTCTACCCTGGGGTCTCAAAGCTTGAGGAGGGCTGTTGAGTTGGCTGCAGAGAGGGGATCAGTACTCTGTGAGCACTGTGCCGGTGGAGTGGGGAGAGACCACCTGGGATACGGCAGCCTGGTGCGTGTGACATCCCTAGGCTGGGGGCTCTGACATTCTGTAATGAGTAAGGATGGACTCCAGGGTGGTGGTGAGCAAGGGTGAAGACCAAGGCCTCTGCTCTTCCTCTGTGTGACCCAATTATGACAACTAAGGAGCCCAAGGATTCTGCATGTGTTTCCCTGAAGTTTTGAAATTGATGTTGGCCTGAAGAGATCTGAGGGTGGTGGGAGAGCCCCTGGGCCGCTACAGAACTTGTTGGGATCTCACTCAAACTAGACTGGTCCAGAGACCTGGGTACAAGCCCTGGATCTGCCATTCATTTGCTGTGAGACCTTGAGCAAATGGTCGAGCCTCTCTGAGCTTTTTCACTCCATATAAATGAGGGGTTGAAATGTATGATCCCCCAGAGTCTTTTCAGCTCTGCTGTTCTGCGGTTCTCTCTATGACAGAGCACAATGGGGTCATGGGGGAGACAGAGCGGGATCCTGGCCTCTTGGACACATCGAGCTGATGTACCACACAGGTCAGCATGCCAGGGCAGGTGAGTGATGGGGATGCACAGAGAGGAAGGGAGGGGTTGAGTATGATGGGTAATTCATGTGTCAACCTGATTGGGCCACAAAGTGCCCTGATGTCTGACCGAGCATAATTCTGGGTGTTTCTGTGAGGGTGTTTCTGGATGAGATTAACATTTAAATTGGAAGACTGAGTAAAACAGATTGCCCTCCCCAATGAAGGTGGGTCTCATCCAATCAGTTGAAGGACTGAATAGAACAAAAAGGCTGACTCTCTCCCAAGTAAAAGAGAATTCTTCCCTCCTGCCTGACTTCCAGCTAGGGCAGTGCTTTTTTCCCACCCTGAACTTGAACTGAACGTCAGCTCTTTCTGGGTCTTGAGCCTGCTGGCCTTTGCTCTAGAACTACATCATCAGCTCTCCTGGGTCCCCAGCTTGCTGACTCAGCCTGTGGATCTTGGGACTTGTCAGTCCCCATTACCACACAAAATGATTCCTTATCGTAAATCCCTTCTTTTATATACACATCCTATTGGTTGTTTCTTTGGAGAACCCCGATTAATACAGTGGAGAGTAGGCAGCAGGGAGGATGCCCTTCAGGCTGACATTCCACTCCTTTCTCTTGAGAGATCCCAAGTCCCAGCCATGTCACCTGACATGGTAGGGAATGTTATTCAACTGCCCTAATAGGATATTCCAGGTAGATGTGAGGAAGGTATGAGAAGCACTCAGAACAGAACAGCTCCTGGACGAGCCAGCTATTACAGAATGGCCATTTTTTATTTAGCATTAAGACCAGAGGGTGTTAGTGTGGTTGGGAGGGGGTGTGGCATGGGATGCTGTCCTTGATGGAAATCAAAAGACATGAATTCAAGTGCTGGTTCTGCCACCAACCATCTTTGTACCCTTTGGGCCTCAGTTTTCCCACCTGTTAAATGGGTATAATAGCACCTTCCTCACAGGGCTGCTGTGGGAATTAAATGAGATAACTGATGTGAAAGTTCCCATCACAGTGCCTGGGCACATAGTAGGTGCCCAACATATGTGAACTCTCCCCTCCTTCTTGGTAGGGGAGGTGGATGAGGTCAGGACTGTCTATCTCTCTAACGCTGGGCCACACACCCTGAACAGGAGCATTCTTCTGCTTTCGTGTCAGGTTAATCATGGTGGGTGAAGGAGGAGCCAAATGGCCCCCAGGAGCCGAGACCCAGTGTAATGGAGCCCAGGACAGCCCGACATCATCCTCTCCCGTGACTAGATCATGTCAAACCAGCCCTTCTGGCCTCAGAAAATGTGGTCCCAATTCCCTGAAACCATCCTTTTCCCAGACAGTTATGAGCATGGAGGGAAATGAGCAAAACACTTCCATTGTCTCTGTCTGAAGCTAGACCACCACACATGTACGTGGCCTTGAGGAAAAACTCCTGGGGGCAGAAGCAGAGTCTGCACAGACGCAGGCAGTCCAGTGGAATGCTCCAGGCGCACGCAGCAAACCTCTACTCCCCCTGCTCCCTGAGAGGCTGTTCCTTCTGTATACTTTCCCTGTCACTTCCTAGCGAGACTCCGGCCCAGTGCTCTGTTTTCCTTGGTAGGAGCAGAGGGAGACGGAAGGATTGTTGCTGAGACAGTGCTGCAGGACACCTTTCCTTGTCACAGCATGGTGGCGGGGGGTAGGGTCAGGGGGACCAAGCAGGACTCGACAAGCCCATCCCCCGCCCCCAGCCAAGGTACCCGAGCTCCTGCCCTGCCCACCACGTGCTCCGCTTCACTCACATGTAGAGAACCGTCTTCTGGTCTCCGTCCTGACCGCCGTCCCCGACCGTCAGGGTGTCGTAACCCCTCTCCAGGTCAAACTCCTCGAAGGCCAGCTTGATCACCTAGGGAGGGAGCAGGGGTTAGGGAGAGGGCAGGGGCTGCTGGGAGAGACTCCCACAGCCTTGAAGACAGGAAGGATCTTCACGTCGCCATGCCCAGAGCGCCCGCGACACCACCTCACACAGCCCTCAATCCAAACTGAGTGTTTCCATGCCACCTTTTTGAGTGTCAGCTTTTTCTCTCTAGGGCCATACAGTCTCTGGGGTCCCCTGACGTTTTCCAAAGACGATCATGGTACATCTGGCCAATTCTGGAGGCTGTCATGGCAACACCAGGCACATCTGGCCAGCTGTGAGAGGATGAGACTCTTCCTTCATGCTTTAATGCACAGAAATCCTCGCGGAACTGGAGGCAGATTTTCAGGCCACATGTGGACTCTGAGGTATGCGGTCCTCAGGGACCTGCAGACACTTCCCTCAGCCTCTCCTCTGCCTGCTTTTCTCCATCCACTTTGTTTGTTTATTTGTCGAATAAATGAATGTTCCAGGAAAGGGCTTTCGACAAGATTCTTTTATCTTGTTTTCACCCTGCCTGCTGCAAATATTCACTAAGCATTCACACCACGTGCCAGCCTAGGAGGTAGGGTTTCAATGGTGAGCATGGCACTGTCCCTGCCCTGGGTGAGCGGGGAGACAGAACAGTAAACTGATAACCAGAACCCCAGGTGACAGACGCTAGCCTACGGTGGGGGGAGGCGGGGAGGTTGCTTGTGATTGGCGGGGGTGGGGTGGGGGCTGGTCTGAGAGTTCTGAAGGCTCTGGAAGACTGTCGGGGTCAGAAGGGGATGACGGGAGAGGCAGGGGTCTAGTGTACAAGGCCCGAGCTGTGGCAGAGATGGAACATTCTGGAGTGGTCAGTGTCTATCAATGCAGGTCCACAAACTGAGCATAGCCGTCAGCTGACTCATTCTGGGGGACAATGTGGTTGGGCCTTCTGTGCAAGGTGGTGGCTCCAGGAGGTCCAGAACTTGAGACATCTGCCTGGAGCGAGGTCCAAAGGGCCTCATAGCCTCCCCTGCCCCGAAGAGCTGGGCTTTATCCTGAGGGAGGAGCGGCAGGAGAGTTTTAAACAGTGGGTGACGGGGACAGTTAGGTGTTGGAGAAGAACATGGGTCTGGCTGCTCGTGTGGAAACTGACATGGCAGGAGAGAGGCCAGAGCTGGTGGGGCTGATTGGAGGCTTCAGTGGCAGTTACGTGAGCGATGCAAGAGGGCCACACAGTGGAGACGCAAGAGAGGGACGGTCCTGCAGTCTTTAGGGCTTTGTGACTGGATGGATATGGGGACTGAGGGAGAGAGGGAGTCTGGGAAGACCTGCAGCTTCCCGGCTTGGGCAATTGGGTGGTGGGTGACAGTGCCGTTTGTGAAGACAGAACACACAGAGTCCCCTCCCCTAACATCTCGTCTGGGCCTCTTTTTGCCTGTTTCGGGCTGGTTTCAATCTGATAAAGATCTTCAGTCTCCCAGTAGGGAGGCTGCAAGTGCTTCTTTGTTTTCTATTCTGCCACTCAGGGAGTAGAGAATTCCCATGGATAGTTTTTCCTAGTGGTGCAGGCTTCCTCTGTCCAAACCAAGCAGCCCAGCAGGGCCTCACCCCAGGGTGCCTTCAGGTGCCTCGGAAGGAAACTACCGCTGCACTTGTGGCTGAGCCCCGTACCGCCTGTGCAGTGCCCTCGGCCTGGGCACGGGACTCACGGAGAGAAGCCGTGAGCGTGGACAGACAGGACAGGGAGGACGGGTGCCATTGGCTGGAAGGAGGCTGGAAGAGGCTTCCTGGAGGAAATGAAGCCCCGGCTGAGTTTGGGAGATGGATTGGGGTCCGATAAATGGAGAAGGAAAGGAAAGTGATCCAGGCAGAGGGAGAAGCAGGTGCTGGGGCAGAGCGGTGGGGTGAGTCAATCTAGAGTTGTATGATTGAGAGGGAAGCAGAGGGTGGTGACGCCAGAGAAGTGGGAGGAGCCAGGTTAGGAAGGGCTGTCTGTCATGCTAAGGATTTAGGCTTTGTCCTAAAGACAAGGGGGAATCATGGAAGAGTTGTAAGTAAATGTACAGCACGAGAGTTTTGTTTTAGGAGCAATAGCGTTGAGGGCTGGTGGAAAACAGACCGATGTCTGGGCTGTGCAACAGTGTGGGTGAGGGAGGTTGTGGGCCCTTAGCAGGCAGCAGTTGGGGCCTATTAGAAAACAGGGGATGGAGGAACTGGGGGTACTGACCTTGGAGAAGAGAGACTCAGGGGCAGAGGCAGGAGCAGCGGTAACCCTGGCTGGCTCCAAGGGCAAAGGTGGAGATGACAAGGCACTGAGACCCAACTCTGTGACTGTCAGAACGGTCCGACAATGAAAAGGACTGCATTCAGAGGTAGTGAGCAGCCCATCGCCGGTGGTATGCAAGTAGAGTGAGGAAAGCATTCCTGCTTGGGGCTCTCAGATAGTTTTGACAAAAATACTAGACCCTACTGATAAAAATCCTTGTTGGCTACATAGACACATACTACAGTGAGCAACCTACAGCGAGTGGGGAAGCCTTAGCCCCTCTGGTTTTCCCGCCGCGCAGGCAAGCTCGCCTCCATGTTCCCTGATGACCCATCACCACCATCTGCTCAGGCTGGAATCGCCCTCCCATCTCTTACCCTCCCCAGTCCTGCCCTACAGAACGATGTCGCCTCTCCCAGCCCAGTACGCAAGGAGGGGCCCCCGGCACCTGCTCCCCTCCGCCCTCCCACCACAGGACCTGTGTGGTCTCCCCTCACATTGGCCCATTCACGACCCTGGTTTGCACAGTCCCCTCCCCCGCCCGCAGTTTCCCTAGCAACGTCTCCGCATCCTTGAGCTCTTGTCCAAGTGCTCCCTGATTGCCCTTCCTCGCCTCTCCGTGTCAGGACTTACCTGCTGTACTGCGACTGATCTGTTTACCTGGTCTTCCACTACACCATGAACTTCCTGGAAGGCAGGGGCCAGGTCTCATGGCCTCTGAACCACCAGCACCTGTCGGTGTGCCAGGCACATGCCACGGGCTCAGACAATGCTGAATGGGAGAACGCTTTCCAAACGTTTCCTGACTCCCCAGCATGGACTTATCGCCAGGCTCCTGGACCCCTCACAGGAGCTATCATCAAGAACAAAGGTCGGCAGACTATTCCTGTAAAGGGCCAGGTGGTAAATATTTGCCCCTGTGCATCCCATGTGATGTCTGTTGCAATGACCCGCCTTTGCTGCTGTAGCATGAATGCAGCCACAGCTTCACACATCCATGTAGCCATAATCCATGTACATTGATATGTATACGAATGGGCATGGCTGTGTTCCAATAAAACTTAGTTTACGAAAACAATGAACTGGATTTGGCCCAAAGGTGGTAGTTTGCCGACCTCTGGTCTAGGAGATTCTTTGAGACACTTAATCCCAGTTTTTGATCTTCCCTTTGATCTTCTCTTGAGAGATTCTGTCACTACAAGAGCTGACATCTATAATGTACTCGACTCTGTTCTGAGCGCTTTACATATATCGACTCATATAAGACTCACAACAGCCACTATGAATACCTCCATTTTACAAATGGGAAAGCCCAGGCACAGAGACATTAGGCGACTCGCCTAAGATCACACAGCTAAGTGGTAGAACTGGGACTCATCAGGCAGCCAGAGGCCAGGCCCTTACCACTGTGCTCGACTGCCTCACAGCATCCCAGGGAGGTCTCCGGTCCACAAGGTAGGGACCACGACTTATGCTCTCAGTCTTCCCTAAGCTCTTTTTCTGTATCCCAGCAGCTCAGCTAACACTTGCTCATAAAATACTCCAAGGCCAGTTGTGCCTTCTGCAGACCGAGGGGCCTGGCCTCTGCAGGGAGTCAGGGTCCTGCCTGTACATTCTCACCACCGTCACCCCCTTCCAGCCAGCCCCCATTCACGAAGCCACCGCCAAAAGACAGAGCACGTGATTACTATGTCTATGATGGGAAAACATTGCTTTGAAGGCCAGAACCAGAGCCATAAAGTGATTCACATCACTGAGCAGAGCACCGTTGACGTGAGCTGCATTTTAGAGTGTCTGACCCTAACATGGGAGCTAACTACACCAGGCAGATAGCACAACATACAACGCTGAAGCTTTGGGATGGGCCCCCAGTGCACAGTGTACTGGTGCTTTCATTTATTTTTCGCTCTTCTCTTTGGCCTTTCTTTAAAGACAGGATCCTGTAATGGTTCATTAACTAACATGCAGGTGAATCAAGCTGGCAAGGTGTCTTTCTAAGGCAGGAGAGTGGCCGCACTTGAAACAGGCATGATTAAGAGGCACGTGTATATACAGCTCAGACCCCCAATTTGCACCCATTAGGTAAATGAATAAACAAACCCTGCACTAGGACATAATTACTGAGCACCTGCCTTGTGCCAAGCACCGAGCTAGCTGCTTCCCACAAGTTATCTCACTCGTCCTACAATCTACAGCAGAACCTAAATGCCAAGTGCACGGTGCAGACGGTGAGTATTGGAGGATGGCAAAGGAGGGAGAGGTGAAAGGCGGCCGCATGGAGGAGGTGGGTGTGCAGGGACCTGCAGGATGGAGGAGGGTGTGGGCTCCGTCCCGGAGATGCTCTGAGCAGTGAACAGGGAAACAAGGAGCCAGGAGGGCAGCCGAGGGGTCAGCGGGGAGGGGAGAGCAGCATGGCTGAGTCTGCATTTTGTCTGGCAGGCCAGAGCAAGCAGTCTGGATTTGAGGGTGAAGATGGGGGGGAAGCTATAACTCGGCATGGAGGGAGGGCTGGAGGCAGAGAGACCTGCCAGGAGGCTGGTCCGGGGCCCAGCAGTGGGACGAGGGCTTAGGGGAGCCTGAGTCTGTGTTCATTGCAGAGAACGGGGGGGGGGGGGGGGGAAATCCTGGAGACTGTGCCCCTCAGCACACAGCTGCCTTTCCGGAGAATTGTGGGCAATGGGAGTGGGACCCTGGAGGGTGCCCACCCTGGGCCCAGAGGACGTTCCTTGCTTCCTGAGCACCGTCCAGGACC